CAAGAATATTTCTTAGAGAACATATATTCATGGATATTTTTGGTGCGTCCAGCCTAAATGGGCTTTTGTATAGTGCCTTAGTACTAGATTAGAATGTCAAAGAAGTTCATAATGATTGGAATAGCAGCTCTGCCATAAGTTCAGGATATTTGCTAGTCGGGCATTGCCCACTAGAGAACTAAGTATATTACAATTATTATCTTAACATGTTTTATCCGTTGTCTATATTTACAGTTCATACAAATATATTATTATATTTCCCATTTGTTTTTCTAACACAAACTTTTACTTTAAATACCATTAGGAATATAAATATTCTAATTATTCGATCTACACTTATTTAAAGTATATCTGAATATAATTCACTTTAAGCCAGTTATGTATGTGGGTCACTATTCAATATAGGCATCGTGTACTCTCGCTCTACGGGTGTTCAACTGCTTTGGCACTGCGATAAATATGTTAAACAATAAAAAATGTTGGAACATTAGCGCTCGAACGGAATATCCGCCCGTTGGCATGTTTTAAGCAAACGCTAATTGAAAACAGTCAAGAAATGCATTCTTCTTCTTCGTTCGTTTTTGGTAAACTCTGGCTGAAGTCTTGTTTCTTTTTTGCATGGCCCTTTATCACACAAGACAAAGTCTGCGGCATACAGTCAACACTCGTTAATGATAAACAAAAGTACAGTTAGCCGTGGCGCGCACATGTTGTTTATTTCGTATTTTTTTTCTCTACACATATATATTTCGTTTTGGTTTTTTTTTGTTTTTTGTTCAAGTTTGTTTGCCGGTTCGCTCTAGCGCTTTTCTAAGCCACAAAGATTTCTTTTCTTTATACATATATCATGAGTGTATGTATGTATATGTCATGTCTATGTATGTGTATACTTAGCAGTCAACACTTGTCAATTTTCACTGTTCTGTTTGCCTTTTGTCTACGTTCGTTAGCTGAAAAATGTCTGTTGAAGAAGGCGGAGGCACAGCCGGCCTTAACTAATTTGCCGACATGTAAACATTACTTTGATACAGCAGAACATTATTTTTTAGCGTTAATTACTTTTCAACTGCCAAGCTTAAGTCTATCGATATAGGGACGATACACAGCAAAAAACGTTTCTATTGGTTTCGAGGGCTCTCGTAGGATACGCCAATAGTTCCAAGTCTGGGTCCAGTTGACTTTTTTCTTTGCTTATCTCTCTATTTTCATCTTTTCTAGTCTTAGATTAATTATAGATTATAGATTAATTTAAGTTGTTTCTCAGTAGTTCTGTTTTCTGGCTGTCACACTCTCTCTCTCTCTCTCTCCATCTGTCTCTCTCTGCCTCTCAATCCATTAGAGTCGACTTTTGACATTTCACCGTGCGACAAAATGAAAACTTTTTAATGTGCTTTGCGAGCTGCTGATTAGCTTCCAAAAATACGAAACAGACGATTAGCAAAGCTAACAAAGCGGACTTAAGACAAGGCGTGGGCAGGCACTACATATATATATAAATATAGGCATATATTTTGATACATGACATATGCTCCATAAGTTAACGCCTCTCCTTTAATTTGTATATAAATAATTTGTATATATTCATTTATATATGCATGGCAGCCCAAAATGAAATCGAAATCGAAAATGTTTGTCGAGTGGGTGTCAGACAAACTACAGCAACAACAACCGCAACAACCACAACAGCCAGATGCAAAACAAATGCATTCATTCATGCATTTACTTCTCTTTTTCGGCTCAAAGCGTTGCGTTTATAACTTTCAAGAGTTGCTTGGCTCTTGGCAACGATGCCAGTTGCCCCACAGCTGTTTGCAAACAACAACAGCAGCAACCAGAAACAACAGCCACAACATTAAAGATGCGTTGGCGTATGCAAACACCAAAGAGAGCAAACAGGCTCGACTGACTACCAGCCTATCGACTATTAAAACTCACATGTAGATTTTTCTACACCCTGCACATAAAAAGCATATCAATTTTGGCCAAGTAATATGCAACACAAATGAAAGAACACAGATATGTATAAACTAAATAAATACCCTTTACATATTTCTTTTTTTTAACAAATAAATAAGTGAAACTACTATATGTGGAATAGACTATAAAATATGCATAGATATGCATTTATAGCATTTAAAATCAAGGCAATAGAGATCAATTTTTATGGCAACTTAAGAAGATCTATAGAATATATTTCCCTTCATAAATTCTTTAAAATAAATCTGATGCGCATTTTTTCTATCTCTATGAAAACTAGTATTTCAATTTACATAGATGCATTTATCATATATATAATAAAATTATATATATTTATATATGAGTAAGTCTTAGAATTAAACATTTCTTAAAAAAGTTTGCTAGGGTATTTGAACATCGAGCAAACTCACATAACTGAGAGCTAGGAAGGTGGGTAGTTAGGTAGACAACATTGTTTTCCATTTGCCCAAAAGCATAATTAAAAATAAAACTTACATAGCTCAAGGCAAACTTAACTGAGTAAACAACAAAAAGTTGCCGTTGTTGCTGCTGCTGCTGTTGCTGTTGCAATTGTTTAGGCTGGTCATAAGCAGAACGCAAGTTTAAAGAGCTCAAGACACAGAGCGAAAGAGTAAACAGAAATTCCCCTTTTTTTTCATATAAAAATATATTAATATTACTAAATACATAATATGTATAAATATATATAGATATATAATATATTTATGCAGACAGAAATATGCTTGTTGATTCAGCCGCAGGCGCAGGCCATAAACAAATATGAGAAGACAGCAAAAAAGGAAAAACAGTTAAAAATAGTCCAAAAGCCAGCTGAAAAGCTTGCCAAACACCCAACTTTAAGAAGCCGCAAGCTAAAAGCGAAAAAAACAGCTAAAAACAAGCTAAATAGACTGCCAAATAGCAAGCTCAACAGATAGATAACAGCAAACCTAGTAGAAAAGACAAAAGTTAGCCATGAAGCAAGCTATAATCTGAAGTCAAAATGTAAGCTAGAAATTAGCAGACATTTTCATTCCAACAAGAAAGCGCGTAAAAGCATTACAATCAATCGCATACCACTGCATAGTACTCATATACGAGTCAATTTTTATAGACGATTTAATATATTCTAAATACAAGAACCAATATACTCACTCTTCACTTTATAAACGCGCATAAACAAACAAAAAACTCAGCCAAAAGGAACCGAAACCAAGTTAATTCGTGGCCGACAGCTGTTGGCATTTCAATTGCCCGCCCTCAATCTCTCTCGCTCTCTTTTATATTTCTGCATATCTCTTTCTCTATCTCTCGCTCTTAAGCAGTTGCACAGGTGCAGCAGCAGTTGAATGGTTTTCTTCTTTGGGATTGGGTTGCACGTTTGCTAGTTGCAATGCTGAGGCATCAGATAAGCGCACCAAACTAAATGTGCCAAGTGCAGATACAAACACACACACAGGCAAACACGTGTTTGTATATGTAAGCTAATATCCTAGGCAAAAATATCTTTAAATAACATTCCAAACATATCAGATGATATATATATATATATATATATATCTAACGGAACTTGAAACTTGCCTCTTGACGCTCTGGGAAAGTTACGGAAAGCAGCCTAGGTTTATGATCTAAAATTTCTCTGAATAAACAATAAACAAGGTTGTTTGCTTTATCATTTTTGACTTTAATATTTGTTTAAGTTAAATGCAAATCATAACATAAATAGTAGAAAACTATATTAAACACATTTTTTCATGCATATATTTAGAGAAATTGGAATAGGTACAGTGACAACTGGAATTTTCACTGTATACGCTGTAGCCTTATCAGCTGCAGCCCCGTATCAAAGTCATTTGAAAGGTATGCAAAGGCAAAAGCAAATGCACATGCGAACAGACACATTTCAAATAAATTTGAGATAAGACAACAAAAACAACAAAGTAGAAATTCTAATTAAACAACATCTACAGTTAGACAGTTACAACGCAGAGCTCCGTTTGCTGCTCTTATTACGAAATGGAGACACAGTTAAAGCATAACGAAGCAAGAAAAACAACTACAACAACAAGCAGCAAACCAACCCCATTTCATATGTTGTATGTTATTTCCCTATAGGATATGTTAACCCCCAAAAAAGGTAAAAAAAATTAGAATTCTGATACGAATTTAATAGCCTAACAAAGTCAATGAACCCCTCCAGCCTCCAGCGGATGGCGTTGAAATACGCCAACGCATTATCATTATACCTCCAACAATAAAAAATACAAAAACAACAGCAAGAACAGTAGAATAAGTAGCCCACGCATAATCCATAATGTTTGTGCTAAAAATGTGCACACAAAATACACACACATTCACACAAAGCAGAATTACTAGAGGTGAAAGAGCAAAACAGAGATAGGGCAGCATTAGAGATGAGCGAGGAGGGGGCAAACTGCAAATTGCAAAAACAACATTATAAATGAGAAAGGTCAAATTGTGCAAGACAGCAATTTAACAATATGCCTGCCTAATACTGCTATACACCAGAATTTTGTTATTTTTGAAGAAATTATGAAATGCACTTAATTTCGCTTAATAGCTATATATATAATATATATATGCATTTTGCTTGCATGCACGATTAATTCGTGTCACGGCACGTGCGCACATCTAATGGCGAGTGCCTGCACTTGCGCAAATAGCGCGACAAACTTCAAAAAGGGAGCACAAAATTGCTGTTGTTTTTGTTTTTTGATGTTGTTGTTACTGTTAATGTAGCTCTGCTCCCTGTAGTTTTTGTTGTTGCTGCTGGCTGGCTGGCAATGAAAGGAGTTTTCATGGCTTACGCTTGGACTGGAATTGGCACTGGAAGGCCTTGGAAAATAAAGTGCGTGTGTCTGTGTGTGAAAGCTGGAAGCTGTGTTTGTCTGTCTGCCTGTCAGATTTTGTATAATTAGTACACTTGAGTGGAAGGTAGAGAGGGAACGGTAGACTAACAACAAAGGCAAGTGTAAGAAGCAGCACATATCAAGGATACTCACGGGTCTTGAGTTTATTCGTAGTCAGCTTCCAGCTGCAGTTGCAGCACAGCGGTGCTTCAAAAGAATCCTGCAAACAATTAAGCAGCGTTTCCTCCCCTTTCAGCCGGCACCCGGTTTTAGAGTGCGTGTATGTGTGTGTGTGTTAGTTATTGTTGTTGCTGCAGTTGTTTTTGTTTAGTTGGGCTGCAGCGCATTCCAGGCGGCAAAAGCGCACAAAAGAGTATAGAAGAGAGGACACACGCGTCTCGCTCTCTCCACCCGTCTCCTCCACACAACTTTGGGCTTTGTTCAAACAAACTACCCTGACGGCGATCCTTGCACAGTTGTTGTTGCTGTTATTATTCTTGTTGTACACACACGCACACAATCACAGACACTCACTCACACGCATATAAAATTATTCACTTCTTTTTTAAATTTAAATATGTACACACTTTTCGGCGCAAAATTTGTTGTATCTTTCCTTCTATTTCTATTTTCGCACTGTTTTCAATGCAAGCAACAGTAAAGTGCCGTTGCCGCCGCCGTCGTCGTTTAACAGTTAATTTTATTTTCGCCTGATGCCGCCGTCTCAATTTCAAAGCAGCTCCTGTCAATTATGATTTGCATTTTCGTTATTTAATTCAAGACATAATAGAAAAACAACCGCCGAGTTGTACGGAATTTATTTAAAAAACAATACCAATATGTCTTTTATGCATGCACACCGTTACACGGCTGTTCTATTTACGCGCGCGCGCTAAAAGTTGTACATTATTATGTTATCAAATAGCATTTAATTATTTTACAAATTTAACACTTTAAATTGCGCGCACCGTCTGCCGCACGTCTGACTCGCTCGGCGTTGTTTTTGCTTCTGTCCGTTCGATAGCAACTGCATAGTGTTGAAGAGCGCTTAAAGTGATTCATTTCATTACGATAGATCGATATGCAGCTTCTCATATTTGCGCTGCTAACATATGCGTACGCGCAACCAACTTCATGTTAAATACCGTAACGGAAATTTGAAATGCGTTTAGTATGAAAACATTAAAAAATCATACAATAAATAGTTAAATAAATAATAAATAAAGCATATACTAAAACAAAATTAATTATAAGAAATTGATATACTTTAAAACAATATTTAACAACATATAAGGTATTTATTTGTTCTTCATTTGTTTCATTTGTCAGTTTACAATCTAAGTTTTTAAGGTAATACGTCAGCATTATCACACAAGCCTAGCTTATAATAAAAATATATGAAAAAGTAGCAGATACAAAATACATAGAACATATAAAAACAATACCAAAAGCAACAATTTTACTACAAATATTAAGAAAGCGAATTTATGGATGATGATCGACTTTTTTCTATTTTCCATTAGTGCGGCTCCAGCCACTGCACACTTAATTTGATATCCGTTTTTGGCATTAACACTAGCTTGCCAGGATCATAGCGCATGGGAATTTGTGTATCGGCGCTAGGCTCATATTTGTGATGCTCCAACAGGGCAACTAACCCAATTAACAGCTGCTGCTCTGCCAGTTGCTTTGCTATGCAGCCACGCAGACCCTCGCCGAAGGGTAAAAACGACATGCCTGGCCTTTTAAGCACTGCCTCAGGCCTGAATCGTTCAGGGTCAAAGCGTTCGGGCTTTACATATATAGTCGGATCCCGATGAATAGCAGCTACAGGTATTACCAAGTTGTTGCCCCGAGCAATGACAAAAATCGAATTCGACAGTTCAAATTCACGTGTGGCACGGCGCAGCAGAAAAGGATAAGGCGTATGTAGACGAAGCGTTTCTGTAAGGACAGCCGAACGACACGAGAAATATGAAACATAAGATATGAGGATATATAGCCAGGATACTAACCATTTAACACTTGCTTCGTGTAGCTGAGTTGCTTGAGTCCTTCTGCTGTCAGCTGTCCCTCAGTTGCCTTCATCACTTGTTTAATTTCGGCTCTCACGCGGTCTTGCAGCTCTGGCTGCAAGGCGAGCTCATAGAGACAGAAGGCGAGACTCGCATTCAGTGGCTGCAAGCCAGCTAGAATAAAACCAAATGCCTGAGCCGCGATCTGAGCATCCGTCAAGGCTTCATCTGTGGCGTCGAAAAGCTGCAGAAAGCTTTGCAGCGGCTGTCGATCTCGTTTGCGCTGTTGCTGCAGTTGCTTCTCGACTAGCTTATGGAAGTAATCCATGGCTAGCTGTGAGTAGCTCCTGTGTCTCACAAGACGTGCGAGCAGAGGCAGCTCTAAGGCTAAATAGGCGCGCCATAAGCTCCAGTTACTCCAGTAGCTGCGCGTCATGAGGGAAAACTCTGATAGATCCTCTGAGGATAGACCATAAGCTATCTTCGCTATGGACTCCACATTGTAGCAGTCCAACAGTTGGCTGACATTCAAATCCTGCTTTCCCACGCCTAATTCCAACTGCAACGTCCTCGAAGTCTTCAACAACTGTGGCAGTAGCTTGTGCAGATTGCTGGCTGCAAAGGCTGGCGCAGATTGGGCGTGCAGCTGTCTCCATTTGTGACCATCCAATTGGAATAGATTGCCGGACAGCGGCTCCCGTGCCACATTATTATAGAGTCCACGACTGGTGAAATAGCCCGCATCACTGTCCAAAATATTCCTTACCAGCTCCAAGTCCAGGACCAACACAAAAGGTTTCAATAGTACATAGCAACCGATGAATGGTGCGCGTCCTTTGTAGCTCTCGTAGAGGAAGAGGAGCAGCTGCTGGACATGCTTCTTGCCACGCAGCACCTCCGAAATATTGCCCCATAGAAACTTGGGCTTGACATGGAGTATTCCACGTCTCTTCCAATAGCCCAAGCTGAATTTGACCAGCACATAGACGAGAGCCACCACTCCCAGAGAGCTCCAAAGACAGCGCTGCAACAGATCCATGTGGCTGAAGATGGTGATGATGCAGGGGAGTCAAGTGGAAGCCACTAGCTCCTCTAAGCTAAGTTGCTTCTTCCTCTCAGGCGAATGCAGAAGTGCACTGCTCCTGGAATTGGATGGGGGCTAAGCTGCTGCTGCCTTCTTACTAGAGCGGAGCTTAGCCGTTCCTTCCAGTCGGATCGATTCGGAGGCGCCTGGGCTGCTGCTTCCGTCCAGTTGGATCTGGGCTAAGCAGCTGCCTTCTTCCAGTGGCAGTACTTCCTAAATATTGGTTGATTTGCTTGCTTCGTTCTTCGCTTTTTATGTTTGATAAGCGTTTCAGTGTCCCTGGCTTATCAGTGCCATGGTAGACTGTAAAATATTGATTAGCTTATCAAATGACTCGATTTCTAGCCATAACGAGCGCTAAAACAGTTTGCGAAATAGAAAGAGAGACAGAGAGAGAGTAAATTAACTTAAACTCAATAATAACAGAATTCGAGTACAGAATTAGTGTAATGACAAGCATGTAATACCCTGTTATATAGTAGACAAGAGGTATATATGTGTGAACATTTAAGTTAAGTATATACTCGAAAAAGTTGAAATGAAGAAACTTCTCTAATTTAAGGTATTTTATATTACACATTAAGTAACAAACTGGCATATCCTCTAATATACATATATCCTGCAGATGTTATCGACCAGTTATTCGTAGTATTTTTTGATAAATGTCGTAAAGTAGGCAACACTGTATCCATTTCATTTGCTACTTTTTGCAGCATTCAGCAAAGATTGCAGCTGCTCCTCTCTAGCCGTTTCCAGTGTTGTCATATTAATTGTTTTTTCTTTTATCTCTCGTTCAATGAATACATTGTTGGAGCTCCTTCATTCATTATTTATATTTTTGTCAAATTTCATTAAGTAGGCAGCACTGTCAGCTTGCCCGATCCTCTCCAATAGCTTTAGCAGTGTTGTAAATTATTGCAATTTATTGTTTCTGTCAACTTTCGCTTAATTTGTCAACACCGTTTCCATTTCAACTTGTTACTTTTCCAGTATGAAGCACAGATTGTAGGCGCTGCCTTCCAACTCACTACTGTGCATCCAACGCACATAACCGCGATCAATCAGCTGCTGCGTGGAGCTAGGCACGCCAGTAAAATGCGGATCCTAAAAAAGAGATCAAAATTAGCTTTAATTGAGTTCAAGTGTGGGGTCACTTACCACAATGAGTAGCGAGCAGCCCGCCGTTTGGCTCAGGTGAATGCCCGCAATAGCTTTTGATGCGGTGTCGTTTAGCCCGCCCATAACAATTAAACCGCAATATTCCACAAAATATTCACGTATTTGCTTTAGCACCTGCTCGCTGTTCAATTGCTGCACGTGCGCAAATTTACAGGGTATGTCAAATAGGGCATCAATCACAAAAAACTCCTCCATGGTGCCGATCCAATCGCGTGAGCCAACAAATCGCGCTGGCTTATCGCCAATCCTCACTAGCAAGCGCTGAATCTCCTCAATGGAAGGCACATTCAACATGGCTGACCTTCCATTGCGTCTGTTTATAATCCAAGAGATGGCTGTTTGGAGCGTTCGATAGCCGCAACCCCAACCCACGTCCGAGTGACCGTCGCAGCCGTAATGAAAGTACTTGAATCTTCCATGGGTATACAAGGTCTCACCTGTACTACCAGCTGGTGGAGGTAGAGTCAGGTGCACATCTTCCAATAATTTGTATTCATATGTTTTCGTCTTAATTTCCACATTCGACTTTGATTCACAGGTTGTTGTTGTCATAGTTGTTGACACGCTCAATATAGTGAACGTATATGCGCCCTATATATAACTCTACTTATTTATAGTTGCGATATTTACCTTTTGCTACGTTGCATCAATTAATTTTAGAAATTTAGAAATCATATGTTTACTGCCCCGATAACGATATACACTGTGTTGCAATAGCTGCAAAGTGCAATTAACATATCGATAAGAATCTGGCAGCACTAATCAATTGTTTGTCAATCAATTTAGGCGGCAGTTTCAAAGAAACGAGAAACATCGATATAAAACTATCAGCAATAGTCGACAAATTATTGGCGCTACTTTTGAACTAAATGAAAACTAAACATCGGAGTTTTTTATATCTCTCCAAAAATCTTAATCGCTACGCATTTATTTAGATTTACAAATATATTTCTAGCTATATAGATGTCAAAAATTATGCGCCATTCCACATATATAATAATATAAAACGAATGGCCTCGTTGTTTAACGCTTAGCGTTTCAATTTAAAATAAATCCATTTCGCCACAATTCACATCGAGAATATCATCATCATAGCTGATCAATTGCTTAAGGCTTGCTGCTGCTGTGGCAGCTTTTGAAGTCGATGGCAGATCAGTATTATCCACCACATTTATATTTATTTCATGAGTTTTATATTCCGGACTGCTTTGCTCCTGACCAACAGGCGAGGGCGGAGGATTCGATACTGCAAAGAGAGAACAACTTTAAAGGGAGGATCTATCGTGTAATATGTGTGATATAGTTTTACAATTGCCTGGCTGTATTTGTGCCAATTCCTTGCGACTATTTAATGAAGGCATTTCGGTGCTCTGTTCGCTTAGACATTTCTTTAGTTCCTCCACTTTACGATCGCGTATCAATGACGCCAATTGCTTGCGAGATTTACTTTCGTTCTGACGGTCCTCGTTGAAAATTAATTTTTGTTGCGCTGGCGTTATGAGATTGTGATGCTTGAGCAGAAATAGGAAAACACCCCCAGGTGTACGTCGACGTCTTCCGTTCTACAATAATAAAGTGAGCTTCAATCAAGAGTTTCGTAAATTAAATCTTTGTTTTAACAGACATTGATCATCATGCCGCCATCTGCCTCAATGCGTTGCGTTTCTTTGTACAGCTCCAGTGGTAAATCTAAGCCAAGTATTTCAACGACACGAACTGCAAGAGAAATTGAAAATCAAAAATAGTCTTTAAGCTTTTCATAGCTCACCCAAAAGTTCATCCTTCTCCTCGTAGAGTTTGCTGGCCATTTCATTAGCCACATCTTTGGGCTCGCGGCCGGTCACATCCTGCAAGTCGAGTATATGTCGCGGTTCGCTTGAATTATCCGATGAGCCGCTCGTTGAGGAATTGCCACGTCGTGCTCTCGATCTTGATCCAAGCCGATTTTTGATCGGATGTCGCTGATCCCTTTGTTGGCTATCCAAACAGGCAGAGCGCCCTCGCTTAAATGCTGGCTGTGAGCTGCTGCCCTCATCTGAAGAGTTGGACAGGCGACGCTTTAATGCATGCTCCCCATTTAGACGATATCTCAAAGAGAAATCATAATTTTCCACATTGCGATCGCTGCTGCTTTTGTGATTCACATCGCATCCTCGCATATTCTCACTTAGTGCCTCCTCCTGAAGTGCAGCTGTCCATATGTTATATTTCTTGAAGCGCGCGCGATTAGGTTCCCCAGTGGAACAGGCGGCGGAAGAGGAGCAGGCTTGAGGTGGAGCAGCAGGCACACGTATCATAACGGTTCGTTTTATACGCTTCTTTCGCTTTTTGCTGGTAGCGAGATTTTCGGTGCGTAACTTTTTGATGCAACCCTCTTCAGAGGATTCACCGCTTGTGCTTTGTTCGCTATTCGTTTGGGATTCATCGTCCAAAGCGCTTTGCAACTGATGGCAGGTGGCAAGCGGATTTGTTGCACTGCCTTCGGCAACTCCCTTTGCAGCTGTTGCAACATTTAAAGCCGGCGCCGGTCGCTGCAACGGCGTATAGATCTCCTCCTCGCCGCTTGCTGACAACTGACATGGTATTAAACATTCATTAACTAGCTATTTTTTATATGCTTTATGCACATATTTACCTCGCCATCCTCTAAATCGATGTCTTCATTTGACTGCAGCTCCATCATCTTGCAGGAAAAAATTAATTCTCGTACGGCACTAGTGTTGAAAAACGATTGCACAAACAAAGAGCTGTTTCCACTGCTGCTTCGATTAAAATGGGTGCTATCGTAAATCAAATTTTAAAATGAAATATATCAACATAATATGTATATTTAAGCTGTGGCAACACTGGCATGCAACAAGAATCCGAAAACATTGGTTTAATTTTTTTAATTGACTTCTTTTAAATAAATATTTAGTTTATTTGTTTGTGTATTATTTTTCGTGTTAAGCATTGGCTGTCTAAAATCAGTACAGCATATAGACAATACTAACACATAGCAATTGTATAGCAAGACATTTAAACAGCAGACCTCCAAGTGGAACCGACGCAGAATGAACATTTAAAGCTGTGGCAACTCTATTTGGCATGCAGCAAGAAGAAGAAGACACGTGCATTCCTTTATAAAATTTTGAACGTGCTTGTCAGACGTAGAAATAAAAATTCACGTCGTATTATGGTGCGACCAAACAATCAGCTGCCGGATAATCTTCCGCAGTTGCAGAACCTGATCAAGCGAGATCCGGAATCGTACAGCGATGAGTTCCACACGCAATATGAACATTTTTTGAGTTTACTCGAAATCTTCGCATTGAATCCGGGCGAGGAAAACAAATCGTTGGATGAAATTGTGATGTTTATTGCACAGGTGGCACAATGCTATCCACAGGTGTGCCAGCAGTTCCCAAAACACCTGACGGATCTGTTAAGAACCAGCGCTACGGTCCTAGATCCTGCGATGAGGAACTCCTTTGTCAAAGCTTTGATTCTGCTGCGCAATAAAAATCTGGTTCCAGCTTTGGATATATTGGAATTATTCTTCCAGCTCTTGCGCTGCCAGGATAAAAATTTACGCACCTTCTTGCAGACACACATTGTAACAGATATTAAGAACATGAATGCGAAGCACAAGGACATGAAACTCAATTCGGTAAAATGATGCACTTAATCACGATTAATCTTAAATTATTATTAATTATTTTGTATTTTAGAGTTTGCAAAACTTTATGTATGGCATGTTAAAGGACGCCAATCCAAAAGCTGCCAAAATGTCTGCAGATATTATGATTGAACTTTACAAGAAGAACATATGGAATGATGCCAAGACGGTGAATGTGATTGCCAGTGTGGGCTGCTTTTCAAATATTACAAAGGTTCGCAATGCATCAGAAAAGATTCTAATACAACACAGAGAACAAAGCAAAACAAATTTTGACTTGCGCTTTAAGTGAGCAACGGTACCTACCAGCCATAATGCTTAATGGGATAGAGGGAGCGCTTTGTTGCTCTTAAGTTCTCTTATAATATCTATATTTAGATTGCACTCTCTGCTCTCTCAGAATTGCATCCACACACTATGTGAATGTGTGCATGAAAGGTCTGCTCCCGCCTGTTAATATTCGAAATTTGCTCTTTTCTTTGTGTCTTGTATTAGAGATGGGACTTTATAAACTAAACTCTTTGAATTGTAGGTGCTGGTCACATCTCTAAAGTTCTTCCTCGGTCACGATGATGAGGATGAAGCTGGCAGCGATTCGGATAGCGAGCAGGAAGTGGATCTTAAAGGTGCGCTAATGGCAAATCGTGTGAATAAGAAGACGAAGAAGCGTCAAAAGCAACTGCAGCAGATTAAGAAGCAGGCGATCAAAGCGCAAAAGAAAAAGAAAAATGCACCTGCCTTCAATTTCTCTGGCATTCATCTTATACACAATCCTCAAGGCATGGCCGAGGGTCTGTTCAAGCAGCTGCAGTCGAGCAACGAGCGCTTTGAAGTCAAGCTAATGCATCTGGATGTTATCTCTAGATTAATAGGCATTCATGATCTATTCCTCTTTGGCTTTTATCCATATATCACTCGGTTTTTGCAGCCGCATCAGAGGCAGGTGACGCGTGTCCTTCAATTCGCAGCACAGGCCTCACACGAATTAATTCCGGGTGATATAATTGAACCCATCTTAAAGACCATAGCAAATAATTTCATCACCGAGCGTAATTCGAGCGATGTTATGGCAATTGGCTTGAATGCCACGCGAGAGATTTGCATGCGTTGTCCATTAGCCATGGGCGAGGATTTGCTGCAAGATCTGGCCATGTACAAGACTTACAAAGAGAAGTCAGTGATGATGGCTGCGCGCTCCTTAATCACGCTATATCGCGAGCAATTGCCCGCTATGTTGCACAAAAAGGATCGAGGCAGGCAAACGGAGGCGCAGGCGGAGCGGAAGGTGAGGGCTTATGGTGAAAAAGATGTCAAGGACACTGTAGTAGGTGCAGAGGCGTTGCTCAGGGATTCGAAGACAATTGACGTCGGCAGTGATGATGATGATACGGATTCCAATGATGGCGAGTGGGTGACTGTAACACACAGCGATAACGAGGATCGATACGATGAGCAGGCAAACGAAAGCGAAGATGAAGAAGAGGACGACGAGGATGAAGATGACGAAGAGGATGACGAGGAAGAAGATGATGATGAAGAGGCAGACGAATCCGATGAAGGCGTTGCTAGTGATTGCGAAGAATCAACACCCAATGCGAAAAAGGAAAAGGCGAAGCCGTCAAAGGCAGATATAAAAATGCTCGACCAAAAAGAAGCTGCACAGGAGCTGGCTTTGACGCGCATCTTCACAGAGGAGGACTTCAAGCGAATCAATGCAGCCAACCTCAAGAAAACGGTGACAAGTGCACGCAAGCGTCCACTGGAACAGGATCGAGCTGAGTTTGTGAAACTGAACAGCATTGAGATGATTTATAAGAAACGTAAACACGATAAGGAATCACGTTTGGAGACGGTGCAGGCAGGACGACAGGATCGCGAACGTTTCGGCTGGAAGGATGGACGTGTCAACGAGAATTGCTCTAAGACGAATCGAGAGAAACGCAAAACGAAAAACTTTGGCATGTTACGGCATAAAGCGCGGTCCAAGGTGAAGAAGAGCTTTAGGGATAAGCAGCTGGCCATGCGAAAGCATCTACTGCATCAGAAGAAGATGAAGTAGACGGAATTGCAACTGGGGAAGAGGAATTGAACAAAGCTGAAGTTGATGAAAATTAAGACGGGATAAGAAAGATAATCAATAACAGCTTCCAGGATATGCCGTGAGTCAAACATAAACATCTTGTTCTCCAGAAGATGCTGCAGAAACAGCAAGATGGAGGTAGATGGGAGATGGAGCTCAAGTAAATGAGGGCAACAGATACAGACACAGATGGTAATGGAACAACAGATATGGAAATTAAATGAAGATGAAGGGAAGCAGATGAGGATGAGAGTAGAAGCAGTAGATGCAAATCAATTGAAACTTTGGGAGATCCTTTTGTATCGACACTGCAATAAAGTTTATTTCAATTTTTATTTTAATTTATGAGTTACTCTTAGGATTTCGCATAGTCTATCTGCGTCGCTTTTCCGATTTCTTTACACGCTTGGGTCCCTTGACGAAGCACCAATCCACTTGAATCGTTTGTCCCATTATATCAGCTCCATGGAGCGCCTCCTTGGCTGCCAGCGCTTGCTTGTGCGTCTCATACTCGACCAAGGCATAGCCCTTTGAGAAACCTGTGCGTCGATCAAGATTTAAGTGTATGTTTTTGATCTCCCCATAATCGCAGAATTTCTCCTGTATTTCATCCTCCTGCGCCTCCTCGTGTATGGAGGTCACAAACAGTATCCAGCCCTCAACGGAGCGTTGCGGCCCTGGTTCCAACTCATCGTCATCTTCGTTGCGCACCCTTTCATAACTGTGAATGGCTTCACGTGTGTTGCTATCGCTTCCAAATCCACGTCCTTTGCGATGTTTAGCTTTCTCCTTCAAGCGTACAATGCCCTCTATTTGTGTTGGCGTCGGATAAAATAGTAAAACATGAATAGCCGGCTTGGCAAAATGTTGAGAAAAAAACGGGAATTCACTTTCACTACTTACGGTCGCCATCCTCGTCCACTTCAAACTCTTCGGCATTGTCAATATCCAGCACATCAGTCATTTTACTTATATTTAATGTATAACTTAATTAAATATACTTAATTTTACTTTTTGAAGCAGTTTTCTCCGCGTGTTGTAGTTGTGTTTTTTCAGCGTTCTATGGCGAAACTTAAATGAACTAAAAAATACCATACAATGAACCAGTTGTTTTTATTAGTATTTAAGCAAATAATATTAAGTACACTCATGATTAATCAAAAGTGGTATTTTTTTATTTAATTTTGTAATCAAAATATGTTTATTTAATGTTTTTATATTAATGAATATTAACTTTTATTATTTAAGTGCAAATACATTTATTCGCATTTTAGGAAACATAAATTTGGCAAAATGTTAGTATTCAATATAAATGCATAGCCATATTTTGGTATTTTTTTGGCAAACTTTTATTGGTCACTTGCTACTTTATGGTGAGTTAGTACGAATTATGTTTTTGTTTTAACGAGTTGAAGGCGAACGTACAGGGGGTCTTCAGTTAAAATCAACTACCGGGTGAGTGAACAGATAAGCGGCAATTGATTAATAAATGTATAATATACATACGTATGTGCCATGAAGGGCGTGCGACATGAACAGCTGCAATCGCTATCAATTAGTGTTGTATATGTTTTGTGCGAGTGTTAACATAATTAAATAATTTGTAATAATTCTAGATCTTACGATATTTGTTGTCAACTGAAACCATGACTCAAGAAGAAAACGCATCTAAAAATCAAACCCTCTCGGGCGATGAGAAATTGGATAAAAAGATAAACGATTGGCTTGAATGGGATCAAAATCCGAAGACAAAGAGCGAAATAAATGAATTAGTGGTAAAAAAAGACTGGGCGACGTACGTAAAATATGAACTAGATATAAATAATTTATTAAAGATTTTTCTCTTCTACTATACAGCCTTAAATTGCGGCTTTGTAAACGGATATGTTTTGGCACTGCCGGCTTGCGTGCTGAAATGCGAGCGGGCTTCGATTCGATGAACGATTTGGTTGTCATTCAGTAAGTTTCCACTGATCGAAATTCGAACTCGAATTCGTACTCGATTCGACATCCAATTTCTATAGTATGAAAGATCTTTCATTATGATGTGTAAACTCTTTACAGAACTGCCCAGGGCATTTGCGAATATTTGAAGAAGTCGTATCCTGATAAGAATTCTTGGAGCGAACGTGGCATTGTTTTTGGCTACGATGCCAGGCATAATAGTAAGCGTTTTGCTGAGCTCTCAGCGTTGGTTTTCTATCGGAATGGCTTTCTTGTTCATCTTTACAACACTTTTGTGGCCACGCCCATTGTGCCCTTTTGCATTAAGGAACTGAAATGTTTAGCGGGCGTGCAGGTGACAGCCTCGCATAATCGCAAGGAAGATAATGGCTACAAGGTAAATACTATATAAGTACTGTGAAATCTGCCATGAACAGACACCCTTTGAAACAAAAAAGTACATGTATCTGCATGAATTATCTAGAACGAATTTTATCAAGCAGCTCTCACTCAGCAAGACTGTCCCTTGTCCCTTGTGCTCTCTGGGATCCGTACGCCATTGTGCGAACGAAAGAGACAGCATGTCCCACTACATACCTACAAGCCTCTGCTTTGCTCCTCTCTCTTTCTCTGAAAAGTATGAATGTATGTATATGCTTGTATATACAAAGACGTCCCGCTTTACTGCTCAGCTATGCCCAATTTAACCAAGTATCAAACTTCGATTTTAACCTGCTATCAGACACACAAACATTCACACCCACATGTATCACAACGATGTTAATATTTGATATTATATCTAAATATTTGCAGGTCTATTGGAGCAATGGAGCACAAATAATTTCACCACATGATTTGGGCATACAAGAGCATATCGAAAAGAACTTGAAGCCGCAGGAAAACTATTGGTTAATAGATGAGGAGACTTTGAAGCCGATGCTGCGTGATCCCTATGAACCTGCCTACTTTGAAGCGTTGAAAAATCAAATACCCAAATCTTTTATCTCAGACAATGGCAAATGTCTTATAAATTTTGTATACACAGCCATGCATGGGGTTGGCAAGGCTTTTGTTGAGAAGGCCTTCAAGCAGGTGAATATGAAACCTTTCATACCTGTGAAGGACCAAGTTGAGCCCGATCCAGACTTCCCAACAACACCCATGCCCAATCCAGAGGAAGGCAAAGAATCTCTTGATCTAGCCCTTAAGACGGCAACAGAAAGCAAGTGCGAAATCATTTTGGCCAATGATCCGGATGCAGATCGTCTGGCTGTTGCTGAAATTGGCGAGAACGGCAAGTATAAGCTCTTCAGTGGCAATGAGATGGGCGCCCTGCTGGGCTGGTGGGTGTTGCTAATACTTCGTACAGCTGATCCAGATGCAGACATTAAGAATTGTGTGATGATTGCCAGCACCGTGAGCTCGAAGATCTTGAAATCGATGGCGGCCATTGAAGGCTTCATATTCCATGAGACATTGACGGGCTTCAAGTGGATGGCCAACAAGGCCATCGAAGAGGAATCGGCCGGCAAAAAAGTTCTCTTTGCCTTCGAGGAGGCTATTGGGTTTATGATCTCCACTGTGGTGCCGGACAAGGATGGTGTCAGTGCAGCCGCCCATGTGGCCACCATGGCACGTTATCTGTACGAGAATAAATTGACACTGCAGAAGCAATTGGAGAAGATCTATGATAAATATGGCTACCATACAAGCATTTGCTCCTATGTCAGCTGTTCCGATCAGAAGCTCATCCAGCAGATCTTCAATCGTTTGCGCACCTTCGACAACGGCCAGGTGAATACCTATCCAAAGAGCATTCTCAACGGCGACTTTGAGATCGAGCATGTGAGGGACTTGACCACGGGCTACGATAACAGCAAAGCTGATCTAAAAGCCACTCTGCCAGTTAGCTCGAACTCCCAGATGATAACCTTTACGTTCAAGAATGGCGTAGTCGTCACCCTACGCACCAGCGGTACAGAACCTAAGATGAAATACTATGCCGAGATATGTGGCAAACCAGAAGATAAGAACTGGGCTCAGCTCTCAGCGACCCTCGAGCGCATGGTCGAGGCAATTGTCAATGAGTTCTATGAACCAGAGAAACATAAGCTGCAGCGCAAGTCAGCTTGAATGAGTATATATATAGAATATGCCGAATTTATAGCGAGCCATTCATTAGTATATACTATATTTGCCCAGTTGAACTCGTCATTAACCAAATACGCACACCTATCTATGTTATAAAATTAGTCTTTAGCTGATATTTATATTAGACTATATATTCATAAACATATATACATATTTATATATATATATATGTATGCTTATACTTAAGCATAAAGTGGAAGCAATGTCTTTAGCGGCACCATATTCATACACTTAACTAATTTGATATATTAATAAACAATTCTAATTCCAACTATACCTTTTGATATTTGAGCTTAATTAAATCCGGTTTCTCTCTGTGTGCAACGGGTATCATGATTTTGTCAACAAATATGCCAGACATGCTTATTGTTTAGATAGAAATGTTTATAGATGGAACAAGATATCTTAAAGCTGACTTCGCTCTAGTTTCCTTATTGCATTGCCAAAGGAAAAGATAAACGATACGGCCTCATTCGAAAGTAATTTTACGCAATTTATTTATACAGCGTTTTATTGTTTATAAAATATCTATAAATATGTATACATACATATATAAATGTATATATACGTTTTGTTTAAAAATCGAGTTAAAAAAGCATTTAGCTAGAAAATCAAATGAAAAGTTGAGGCAAAAACAAGGCAAAGGATGCTAGCTTATATAAAATGGGCATATATGCAATATGGGTGTACGTACACAGATGGTAAAACTTATCATTCTATATATAGTATATATATATATATAAAGTGTTATCAGTTTTCAGTATTAGGTCTTACATTTATAGATTGTGCTTTTAGTAGGTTGCTATGCACAGCTTACGTGAAAAGTAGAGATAGCTATATACATATATATGTATATATATATATATATATATATATATATATATATATATATATATATATATATATATATATATATGTTCTGGCGATATCGTTATATAAAATGCTTGTTAGCAGTCTCTTGCTTAAGTTTATGTATTTGTCACGCGTTACATTCGAGTTATAGTGCTATCTTCTATATCTGCTATAGATATGTTCGAGTTGTAGTTGATTTTTCGTACTATATATATATATATATATATATATAGATATCTTACATGTTAACTGAATCGCGCCTAGAGTATTATTTAAGCACACTCTAGGCGCAAGTCCTATATCTTTTTTAGACCCACAACCACAATATAGATATAGGTATAGGTATAGCTTTTATAGGGACTATGTTTTACTTATAATCACTATGAATCATACAAATTATTTAAATCTTTTATCTTTTAGCTGCATTGTTAAATTGTTTTCGCATATTTGGAATACTTATGTTTAATACTTTGGGAACTTGTTGAAGTCATTTCAATGGGACGTTCGATATGTGCGCGTTGAGCTTAGGATATTTTCACTGGGCTATCAAAAGATTTGGATCTAACTGCAGTTTGCTTAAGATTACCATAAAATAAAATTTAAAAAATTATTTTAAATGCATAATTTTTATCTAGAACTATAACTTTTTCAAGGTTTGCGATAAGTGCTGAATACAGCTGCATTAACTGCGAAGAGTCTTCGAGAAAAGACAACCGACTTGGATGTCTGAAAAAGCAGATAGTGAGAAGACAGCAAACTTATTTAGTTAGTAAATGTGATATGATCAAATTGATCCAAGTCTTAAATGCAATTCGAATTAGGCAGCACTTCAAATTATGGACAGAGTTACGGAAGAATTGTTAAAACTAAAAGTTAAAAATTAAAAAAAAACATTTGAGCTGCTTTTACATATATAAACGAGTATTAAATTAAATATAAAATCTTATAACTTGCGTAAATCCTAACTTTCTTATATAAAACTATAAATATTAGCAGCAGCAGCAGTCTAAATGCTAAAATTATATAAAATCTTAATCAAGATTCCACGGTTTTGCAACTATGAATATCTGTATATGGATATAGAGTATCAGACAAACACATGCAAATATGATGATTGCGTTTGATTGCTGTGCGTGGGCGTAATCAAAGGAGGAGTCCTTTGCTGCTGCTGCTGCTGGTGCAGTTGATGATGATGATGTGGTTGGTGTCATACAGATGTCTCTGAATTGAGTTTCAAAACAAACTTATTGCTCTTGGGATCGACTACCTCCTCAGCTAAATTGAAGTGGGGCAGCTTGTGCACTGTGACCATCAAGGAGACATCGTTCTGTATCAACTGGAATGTGCACTCGTTGTTAATGGGACGTGAGACGATGTCATCGCAAATCAATGACCACGATTGCACCCAACGACGCTCCTTTTCGCTCTGCATGACTGGCGATTCGGTTAGGTAGGGCTCCAAGAAGGCGCGGGGTGATAAGTCGTGTTTGAGGCAGTGCGCCAGGTGCTTGAGTATGCTCTCAAAGGTATGCCTTGGCTGCTGTCGCGTGACACGCAAATATTTCTGCAGAGCGCGAGCCATCGAGGGAAACACCGCCTGTGCTGCCTCTTGGGGATCGAGTGGTAGAGCGGGAGCTGGTTCGTTGTGTATGCGTTTGATGTGCGTGAAGGCCTCCTCGGCGGCTGTAATAAGTCGAGCACGTCGCTTCTTAACCCTCCGCTCGTACTCATGCTCCTCGTAAAAGCGTTCATTGTGCGAAGAATCGCGACGTCTTGCATTGGCCGCCAGAACTGCTCGACTTTGACTTTGCTGCTGGGAGTTGCTAACTCCATCGACTTCGTAATATTTGAAACTATTCGAGATTTTGTTACGTTGAGACTTTGATATTGATATGGGTATGCGTTCCAGATACGGATTGAAGATGGGAAAGTCCACATAGTAATGCTGCAGCACCCAAACCGCAGCACGTTGAATGCTCAGCTGGCCAAACATATACGAGCGTGAGATGCCATCTGGAGAACGAATAATCTTAACATAATAACATGGCTGCTGATGACGAAGCTCCAGCAGAACAACAGCCACATAGTGTATAAAGAGCAGCGTATCCACAAAGTTGGTCGCATAGCCAACGAGCGATTTATAGTCCACAGCATCGCCGCCAGTTTCCACCACAATCTTTGCACCATTTGTGACCTGCACAATGTAGAAGAGCCAATAGGCAAAGGTACAAATGGTGACCAGGAGCAGCACAATTGCACGATACAGAAAGATACGTGGCATGCTGGCCGTTGTCCGACGCATAAACAAGGCCCACAGTCCGATTGCCAGCAGCAGCAATCGGGCAGCCAGCGAGACGAGCTGGCCCTTGCATTGCTCACTACAAGCGAGCAGCTGTGTGCGCACAGTTTGCGTCAGTTCCGGATGATCGAAGGCCGATGGAAAGAAGCCAATATATGGCATTACGACCATTGCGACGGGTGAGAAGAATGCAGCACAGCCGAGCAGGAAGTAGAATGTTGATTCCACATAGCGACGGCAAGCGAAGCCAAATCCCTTATCATTTTCTCTATGCCACATATTGTTGATGTCCTCCATGGAAATGCTTTGCTCCGATGTATTGCCCGTGACAGCCGTTGTATTCTCACCCCAATTCTCATCCTGGGGCAATATTTGCACCTCAATTACCTCCTGGCCATCGCGCGAATCGTCACCTGGTAAAGAGGATAACAATGTGCATTTCATTTATATATATATATATATATATACATATATATATCGTCATCCACTCACCTGTCATATTAACACTTGTTTGATAGGGCGCCATATCGTTGCGTCCTTTGCCCGATTTCGACGAATGGGTGCTTCGATGCGAGTGCCTTGAACGATCTCTATGATAACCGTTGTTAACGGCGCCGCCACCACTACCACCGCCACCACCTCCTCCCCCTCCCCCACTATTGTTATTGTGATTGCGAGAGCGTCGCGAGCGTCCACTGTGTTCCGATTTAACGGATTCGTTTTCCATTGCTAATTAACAAAAAAAATTGCAATTGTTGGCGTCCGTGTGTGGGCGTCAACACCTGAAACACGCTTTGTAGCCTAATTAACTGACCGCGCTGGATATTTTACTGTCTAACTGTAATTACAGCAGGTTTTTCCTATATGCATATACATGTATGTGTTTTTCTTTGTATGCGTGTGTGTGTGTGCAGCACATTCATAGGTATTTGTTGCAAGCGGTGCGCTGGGTGGAGTCGACGCCGTTTCCACTGTTGCACATAGCTTTGCATTTAATTGTCTAACTTACAAAGCAATATATGAACACTTTTTAACGTTTGCATATTGCTTTCATTGATATTTTTCACTATTTAACATACATTTTTACAGCTTTTTATTTCACTAAGGTTTTGCATTCAACCCCGACCAGCGAGAATGGCAGTCAGTGTTACCACACCATATGAAAACAAGAAAACTATGCACCTATACACAAGCTTCACTATTTTGGAATTTTGCAACACTAACATGGAAAATGCTCCGTTTTAACTGGCTTTTATTATATGTAATTGGAGCCTGCGCCTAATCGTACCTTCGATAGCTCAGTTGGTAGAGCGATGGACTGTAGTAAATCATTTTTGTAGACATCCACAGGTCGCTGGTTCGACTCCGGCTCGAAGGATTTATTTTTTTTTATTATTTGCCTTTTTGAATTAAAAAATTTAAAAAAATATTTGTTATTTAATTTATAACTATTTATAGGCTAGCACGCAGTTATACTACTTAGCAGCTGCCTTGCTTGTTGATTGATTGGATCCATGCGTATGGCGCTTTGAATGAGCTTTAGGGAATGAGCCTTATCCACACGTTCCAAAGCTCGACTGGCATAAATGGTTATCTCCGATTGCTCACTGGCCTTGTTGCTAATGTACATATATAAAAAGAAAAGTAAGTATACAATGAAATATATATACAAATAGAATAAAGCCTACCAATCCCACACGTAGCTGGGTCTTAATTTGAGTGCAATTAGAGCCATATTAGCCAAGGCTTTCTCGTAAGCCGCATCGTTGGGGAAATAGTCTAGAATAAATTTAACAAAGATTTTACGCAACGCAGGATTTTGTGGAAACATGCGCACACGTTGTTGAAGATAGTTAAGAGCCTGGCGAGGACCCTCCTGAAAAAGACAGATATGACAGATAAGGTAAAAAGATATAGGAAGTGGGTTATTTAAATTAATTATGTCATTCCTTAATTACCTTAATTAAACAATAATGAGCTGATAGGTAGGACACATCAGCCGAAAACTTCTCATTGAAATGATAATTCTGTAGCTCTGGCATAATGATGTTGATTAGCTCGTTATCCCGATGTAGCACGCCCAAAGCATAAGCCGAGAATAACGCTTGAATAGGCTTATCTTTGAGAAGTATGCTAATTGAATATATAGAAATAGATTAGTTTAGACTGGAATACAGATTTAAGACCAATTTCTACCATACCATTGATACAACAAAGTTTTGGTATCTGTCTCGCCTTGAGATGCATATACCAGAGAGGCCATGGCCACCAATATTGAAGCTGCCTTTTCATCATCCTGTGCGACCCCGCTGTCCAACAGGTTATAATATGTCGCATATGATTCAGGTGACTGTCCACAGCGATAATATGCCAAAGCCAAGCCTGTGATAGGCTTGAAGGAGGTATGAGCTACATTGTCAAAAGCGCTGACTGCCTGCTCCGGTTGGCCGAGCTTTAAGTAAAGATACCCCAGATTGGTATAAAGATTATCTCGATCCTTGCCAGGTTCCGCTTGTTGGCAGGCGCGTGTAAACGAAATAATTGCCTGTTTGTAAAGCTTTTTGCGTGCGTATAGAAAACCTTGAAATGTAAGCGACGCAATGCTGGCCTCGGACTCCTCGTTCTGCACATACCTGAAATACAAAAGCTGCCATTAATATGTTAACCGTAAGCACAAGTATAAATATCAAACCAATTGATAGCATCCAAGGCATATACATCCGCATACATATTTTCTATAGCATGTTTATTATGCGGTTTATTGAACATCGCCGGATCGGAGAGCACATGACAAACCCAATGAGCATAGCCAAGAGCTGCTTCTGGATGATATTCGAATTGCTGACAATGCCTAAATAAGTCGAAGGCCTCCTCCTGATCGCCGATTGTTTCGGCTACCAAAGCCTGTCCTATCCAAGCATTTGGATAAATCGGACTCGATTGCTGAGCACGCTTAAAGGCTTCGTTAGCTAATCGTATATCGCCCAGCTTAATATACAGCACGCCCAGGTTAGTCCAAGCGGTATAGGATTTCCTCTCCAACACGACGGCTTGGATTAAACAATGCTGAGCCACAGGCAAATCCTCATTGGCTGCATGCATATTGATTACGCCCAATAGATTCCAATTTTGCCAGCGGTTGCTTTGCGCCTTGATGGCCATTTTGCATACCTTGGTCGCCATCTCCAGGTGACTCTTCGCATCTTCTGATAAATAAACCGCGCTATAATAGCTGCACAAAGCCAACTCATACCACAAAAATGTGTTTTGCTTTAGCTTTAAGGCGCACAAGTAAAATCTTTGCGCCAGCTGCAACAGATCCTTGCGTGAGAGATAAACAATTTCCTCGTCTCGCTTGGCCAAACTGCCCGCAACATCCAAATTCGCCAAGGATTGCGGTAGCTGAGCTGCCTGCACCAAAACGCTTGCAGTAAGGCGCCACAGCCAGACCATACCCTGAGCTTGGGTTTGTAAAAAGGCGCTGAATAGATAAGAGGAAACGGATTAACTTTAAATCTATATGCAATGTATATGCCTTGCACAACCTTTGCAGACGTTCCAAAGCCAGCTGGAAATTATCCTTGGCACGTCCATAAAGATTTTGAGCCTTTAGATTGTGGGCAAGACCCATATGCGCCTCAGCAGCGCCTTTTAAAGCAGGCAAATAATCTGGATACAGTTTGAGCAGCTCATTGAAATCAGCAATTGCCTCTGGATACATGCGAATGGTCTGTAAGACAAATTTATCAATCAATATATACTTATACTAACTAAAGTTAGTTCAATTACCGTTTTAATCAAAGCTATTTGCAGTTGAGCGTAACAGTTGCTGGGCGACAGTTCAAGTATTTTTTGAAAAACACGTATTGCTGAGTTGTATGAGCCGCGGGCGGCATATGCATCGCCCAGAGATTCCCAATAGACCATGCACTTAAAATCGTGTTTGATAGCAATACGAAAGCATTGAATAGCCTAAAAAGAATAGTGTATAAGACTAAATGCATATTCAGAGCATGATAAATGTATTCAGCGGATGCAAGACATTATTAAGCTGATACGAAATCCGATTTCGCTAATACAGCCTATGTCTCATAAGTATATTTAGCTTATATAGAGGCCAATGCTTACGTTATCCAATTTTTTCACTTGCAAAAAGTGCAATCCCAGTTTGTACTGCAAGCGAATGGCGTCATCGCTGCTCAAGTAACGTAGGGTATTCATCAACAGTGCTTCATTCAGATCCTCTTCGCCTAACTGCTGATAGATCGAGCTTAAGGCATCCACAGCCTCTTGGGCCAAAGCATTTAGACTAACGCACTTTTCAAAACATTTGCGCGCTCGTGGAATATCGTCATTTGCTTGATACAAGCGCGCTAACTGTTCGAAGCATTCAGCAATGTATGGTTGCAGTCGTGTAGCCTTCAACATGCAATTCAGCGCCTCGGCAAAATTTTGTAATTTCATATTCAGCTTGCCACGCAGTAGCAACGCTTCAAATGATTCATTGTTGGCTATAGCTTGAAGAGCTTCCGCTGGTGGTCTATAAATGGACATATTTGTTTATGCGTTCAATAGTATATGACTATTTCTTACAGTAGAAATTCAGCATGCGTAACCACATCCAATGGCAAGGACTTCAACTGTTCCACTTCATTCAGTTTGTAGTAGCAGCTGAAACGTAGAAATAAGTAAGAGAAATATAGCTCGTCTTTTACTGAATATAAAATATATATTTCATAAAGAGATTCTACAAACCGTGCCAAAGCCTTTAGGTTAAGTTCATCTTTTGTTGTATTATCCTTTAGTATTCGAGCTGCCTCCTCCAATTGTTTTACATCCTTTTCATAGGACAGACATTGAGCATACTCTTCATGCTGCTCACCCAACTCCTGCCACAGCAACAGCGCCAATTTGTGAGCACCTAATTTCATATGAATCCTAGCCAGAAGCTCTTGGGTCATCCTATAACTAGGTTGATATTCCAGAGCTTGCAAGACCAATTGACGAGCAGAAATAAATTGCTCTTTCGCATACAGATCTAAAGCCTTGACCAGAAGAGCCAAATTTGATTTTGGGTTTAGTTGCAGCAGCTGTTCGGCATATTCTTGAATAGATCGGCGCAGTTCGTTTTGCCAGGCTTCACTGTTGCCCTTCAAATGATTCTCGCAATGTGTCTTACAGATCCATTCAAAGCCATAGACGTCACGTGGATGTGATTCAATCATATTACAAGCGTTGCGTATGCAGCCAACAAAGTCCTGCTCCTTGTAGAGAAACTTCAGATAACGCTTGTAGACCATGCCCTGTAGATCGGCATCGCCCACCGACAAAAGTGTTTCCATGCTCATTTTATACTATTAAAGAAAGAAACTCATTATAAACAAGTCGGCATATTGGCAAGAGTACAGCTCACGAGTTCCGTTTCTGTAGCTGACACCTCCATTTCGCTGGAAAACCATATTCTGCCCAGATACTCCAGAATCTTATTGATATGGCAATCGTTCAGATTTTGCGCCTTTTTTTTGAACACCTCCAAGCATGACTTGGTTAAGGCAGCATCCGCTGCTAAGACATAGAGCTTTTCATAGTAGTCCAAACATTTCTCCCTACAGTTACAATATTTTTAGGCTTTCTTTGCTAATAATTGGCTTCGTCACACTTACGGCAACAGCTCCACAAGCTGTTCATAAATTTGTGGAAGCTCCTCTCGGGGTGCACAATTAGCAAGTCCTTGTAGCGCAACCGTAGCAGGTCCTTCGGTATATTCAATGGACTTTCTCAAAAATTTAGCCGCCTCTGATTTGTCAACGTTTTGGTAGGCGGCGCCGAGCAACAAGTAACCCATGTAATTCTTCGGATCAGCCTTAAGAAGACGCTGCAATTAATGTCATTCAGTAAAAATAACACAAAAATCTCATTTCCATTTCTCGTCACCTGGCATTTATGTATGGCGTCTCCATATTTGGCCAGCTTAATTGTTTCCCGTATGTCCTTGATGAGGGCTTTTGATTCTTTGGCACTCATTGTTGATGCCACAAAAATTAAATTTATTATCTGAACTTATTTCAAGGGAAGTGGTCAACATCAGTGTCACCCTGCGAAAATAATATTCAATATGTCGAACACATATTCCACATAGAATTGCAAATACCCTGATAGCATATCGACTGAATTTTGAATTAACCAGCACCACAAGTAAATAAAGTAATTAATCAGTTATTAAATGATTTATTTTAAATAAATATTTTGCAATGTTTAATTATATACAACTGTTGGTTTTTCATATGCCCTATAAATATTTGCAAGTGTCGCAAACGTCAGATGGAGTTCATATAACCTCATTGCAGGTGAATTTGCTTATAACCCGGCAGAAGTTCAGTGTTGAAAAGATTAACATTTTTTTATTTAATCAGGATACACGCTCAGTCAAATTGCAGATAGCAAATAAATTGATTGATGGAATGCAATACAAAAATTCCAAGAAATGCTAACTAAATAATAAAATAATAAAAAATAATAATGAATATTTCAATTTCAATTAAGTGATGTAAATGTCGGCAAGACTTGTTGCGGGCTGAGTTGCTGTTAAATTTTTTAAAGATAGAGCAACACTGAAAGTTGTTTGTCATAAAAGGCTACAAAAATGCGAAAGTACCAGCAATTGGCGCTCTTGCTAATATCCTGCTTGAGTGTGGGCGTTCTGATGATGTACAAGAGCGAAAACAATCGCTTGAAATATGTGTTAAAGTATGTCAACTTCTTTGGACGAAACGATGCGGCCGTGCTGCGTCGCATACAGAACAGCACAAGTGCCGAGGATGAGGAACTTCAATCTAAATGGGCGTTCACTAAGCCGCTACCCGTTTGGCAGATGATTGGCGACTCCTTCTATGCGTACTCGTCATTCTGGTATAGTAATCTACAATATAAGTCATATAGTATTTATATTTAAATTCTTTTTTGTTGTGCTTGTATAGGAAACAAAAGGAGCTGGCTGTCGGTGGCGAGGCGCACGTCATTGTCGTTGGTAAAAGGGGGGCCGTCGTGGACTTTCGCTGCAGCATAGATGTGGGCGGCCGCAGTGTTCAGGGAAAATTTCGCTTTCAACGTGATGCTGCGGAGGGCGTGGTCGATGACAAGACCAGCACATTTACAAATTACAATTTCTTTTGTCAAGTCAGTCGCAATTTCGGAAAGCCAAAGTATGTGTCCTTTAGTGATACAACGTCGCCAATCAAGAGGCAGGTGAAGCTGCATCTGCGGCACTTGAAGGCGGCAAAGACAGCTACCAAGGCAACAACGGCAGCAGGACCAACACTCACCGAAATTCCTGTTCGATTTCCTGCTACAATTTGTGTTGATTTGGTTAGCTTTGATGTTGGTTCGAGATTTGCACGCAATGTGGATGCTATGCTGCAATTCTTTCTCTTCCATCAAGCTCTGGGCGTTGAACACTTTCTAATCTATAACTACGATGAGCTACCGGAGCAAGTTCTACATCTGTTGGAGCGCACCAAAATTCATCTATATGGCTTGCCCTTTAATTTCCCATTTCTACAAACGAATGGCACAACTACTCGCATCCGCCAGTTGCTGCAAACGGATTGTTTGCTGCGCAATGTGAACTATGCTAGCTTTGCGCTGCTGCTCACTCCGAATGAACTGGTGTATCCAAATGCACGCTTTGCGGGCAACGTGGCCAAGAACTCACTGCAGCAGCAACTGCGGGCCTATAAAAGCGAAATAGTTCGCTTTGAGCTGTCCACCTTTGCCGTCTGCTTCGATGAGCATAAAAAGTTGCTGATAGACAACGTGCAATACGACCCAGAATTGAAATCCAAAGTGCTACTGTATCGCTTGGAGTTGCCGGCAGCGCAACTATTGCTGCCCACTGCGAAAAGCTTTGAGCTGCCATTATCCAGTGGCTTTGCTCATCGCTATGTGGAGTGCCAACAGGTGGGCGCAGATGGCCTACATGATTGGCGTACTGGCGTGAGGGAGGAGCTAATGGAACATATCAATCAGCTACGCAATGAAGTCGATTTACTCATTTAGTCTAGTCTAACATTAGTTAACTAAGCTAGTTAAATTAAGCTAAAAATATTGATTTATAATTCGACTGCCATTATGCCAAAAGCGTTAGACTTTGACAATTTTTCATTTAATTTAAAAATGTTTATAATAGACAATTTTTCAAGCAATACAATTGGACAAGTTTTAAATATCTAAGAACATTTTCGGAAAGGTCAATTGAGAAAAACCCCAAGAATGGCCACATAGTAAGAGTGGAAATGTCTAATAGGATAAAAGTATTACCAATTATAATTTTAAAAAGACCAATTAGACAACAATTAGTAACGTGCAATAAAACACATCCAATTGGTTTCATATATAATTAATTTGTGAAACTTTCTATTCGAACATTATAAAACATCTTTTAGATAGCAAAAAAAGTAAAATATTCTAGTTAAACTTTCTGCTGGACACTTGCAAAATCGCAATTTAAACTTTGGCCTATTATACAACTGCCTAATAGCACAAAGCAGATGACACATGCTTCACTAAACACGTTTCAATTTTATATATTATATATATGTATATAATAATAGACACAAATTGTAAGACATCGATTGGGCAATACAATATACTTTTAGTTTTGTTTTGTTTTTCTGTGAATGTTTGTAGTTGTATTTGAATGCGCCATATCCAATTATTATTATTTATTATTATTAAAAATTTGCTGTTTCAATTTTATTTTAGGCGTTGCATTAGCGCAGCATTCCTGAGGCCAGCCTTCTCGATGGTGGAGTTATCATCGCTAAGCTCCCGTGTAGGAAATGAAGAGACCAAAACAAAGTTACTATTCGAGTACTGCGGACGAGCACTGAAAAAAAAAATAGAGAAGCAGTTAAGCCAACGTGTTCTAAAACTAACTTTGAATCTGAATTACTTTTGTATAAAACGACGTATGTCGGAAACAGTGTGCGTCAAATTGAATTGAGCTGCCAGTCTGGAGCCGTCTGCCAAGCGTATTTGGAGTGTTGTTGAAGGAGCTTCGGCATTCAAATTGATTGCATCTCGTGCAGTTGCCTCATGATTGGCCACATCAGCAGGTGATGCTGCAGCGGCAGCGGTATCAGCAACTGGTGTTCGATTGGTCACAATGTTGGCCACTGGACTGCCAAGTTTTTGGCCGGAACCTTTGAAAGTTTGTGGCGCGGCTTGACGTTTAAAATCCTCCTGCCTGTGGTCCTCTACATCAACATTAACCATGCGACCCATTTCCAGCAGCTCTTGAGGAATTTCACTAGAAAAGAATTGCTCGAGATGTAGAGATAGTATTTTATAATTTCAAAGCCAAAAGCTTACCCCCTCATCACGGTCTCCAGGAACTCTTTGTTTTGTGGATCATCGTAATGACGCAGCTCTCCACCATCAATAGAGAAGCCTTGACTCCATAGCTTAAGCACCACAACTGGCTTGTTTTCCGTTGATTGAGCTGCTCGATTGGTGCCCACTGCTGTGTGATCGCTGTCTGTCATGCCCAAGCGCATACCCTGCCCCCAAACACTGCCGCCGCCTACATTTGCCGAGGCGCTGGTCGACGGCCCTACGCCCACTTCTGCTATGTTTTGCTCCTGTGCTGAACGCATCATATCGGTCAACTTTTCACGAAAGTTCTTGCGTTTGGCTGGTCCCAAAACTTGCTGCCCAGAGCGATCAGAGCCTCCGGCATAGAAGGCCTGATGCTCATCATCGCTAGATGGTTGCTTCGACATGTCGCTGAGCGTAGCAAATCTGAAATAAATTTACAAATAATATTTGCTTTAAATAATTAAACTCTCTTTACTTACTTTGGTTTAGTAGTTGCAGCCTTTGGCGGACCAGTTGCTGAAGAAACTGATGGAGCTGGGACGCTTTTTGCTGCTGGGGCTGCAGCTGCGGTAACGTTGGCGCTAGCGCCGACGCTTGCAGAGGTCGTAGTTGTTACCGGCGCCGTTGTTGGATTATTCGACTGACTCACTACAGCCGGAGTGGCTGGTAAATCGGTCTGTGTGCTCCAGTAGTTGCCCAGCGCTTGCTGCCCATTCGCGTATGATATAAAAACAGATCAATTTGTACCTTTCTTTGTTAAATAGTTGCAGTGCAAAAATTTACCTCAATGTCCCAGTCGCAGCTGGATAAGTAGAAACGGGCAACGTTTTCATCCGTACCAGTGATTTCAATGAATTGTGCAGTTAGATCGCCGCGAGCGGCCATTTTTTTTACAATATATTTCCCTAGTTTTTTCCTGTCTAACACAAAATAAATTAAAAAGTGCCTTGTGAACGATAATGATAGACAAAAATTCAGTGTGACACTAAAGTTTATTATTGGCAATGGTGTGACCCTATCGATTTCTGATAAATATGCCAAAAATACCAAACAGGGTTGCTTCCTATCGATATTTTTTCTGCAGCTATCGAACATAATTTGGTGGCAACGCTGTTTGGCGGACAATTCGAATAAATAAAACACAATTTTTTTATTTTTCTTTTGGGTTTAACATTTACATTTTATTAAATAGCAACTAAATAACAATATAACTAATCTAAAGTGGAGTATCCATAGCATAACATCACCCACCGTTTTTAGCGTATTAAAAGTACAAAAGTACATGCTTTTATTTAGTTCGATTTTGACTCCTGAAAATATAAATTGATGCACACAATAAATAAAAACAAACAATTAAATACAATAGTTTACAAAGTTGATCAGCATTAAGTCAGTTATGTGAATATATCCATGGGCATATTTAAATATACTTAAACTAGGAAATTAGTAGAAAGCAAGCCCAACAAGTTAGAAATTAATACTACTCCAAATATGTTCCAAAAATATATTTAATAATTATATTAAATATATTTTAATAATATATAATTTGTATATATATTAAAATCTGTCCACTGGCCGATGAAGGTGCAACACGATTTTTAAGTCCGCCATTTGATGGGTATATAAAAGTTCTAACGCAACAGCTTGCCCTAGAATATTTGGGATATGATTTATGAATTGTAATTTGAATTGGAAATATGATGGGAGTTTGTAGTTGTTGTTTTTGTTGTTGTTGTAGTGCAATGTGTTCGTTGTGCATGATGTACATGTAAAATGAAAGACATTAATAGGTGTCCAAGAAAATGACATTTTCTTAATAAACATGTACCTTTCTTACCTGCAGATAATAGTTGGTCAAAAAGGTGAGACCAATGCCCAAGCCGAGTGCGAAAACATGCGTCAAATAGAAGTTGGGCAGAGGTCGACGTTTGCGCAATAGGAATGAGAGCAGTGAAGCCTTGCGATCCGAATAAGGTGGATAACGAGCGCTATAAAGACGATATGTATATATATGTATATAGGAGTAAATAGTTATACTAACGATGCCATCTTTTCGCCCAGCAGGGCCAGATTCTTGCCCAGGCAGGACTTCTTATGTGTGAAAGTATCAAAGCCATATTTGCCATGATAGCTGCCCATGCCGCTCATGCCGACGCCGCCAAAAGGCAGCGTATCAACTGTGAATGAAAATTTAGTGCATAAGTCACAAGTAATCTTACAGGTATTTTATTAGCAATGTACGAGGATGGTTTAAAAAGTTTATAAGAATAATTTCGATTCAATGTTGATTTTTTCTAACTCGAAAGTTTCTTAAACCAACCTCGCAATTAAATTAGTGTTAGATCAGATATATATTGCGCACATATATAAATATATACACATATATATATATATATATACGTAGATACATTTTATTCAGTTTTATTTTCACACCAAGCACCAATCGTTAATTAAAGTAAATTTTTAAAATATATACATAAAAAACCAATTCCGATAAGCTAAATTTGTTAATAACCAATATGCAGTAGATATTTTGTGCTGTACTTAGGTGTTGTGTGTGGCAGGGTATTTGTGTCTCGGTTTTGATTTGAGCCAAAATAATTTATACATCAAAATTACAAAAAAAAAAAAACAGATTTTTTGCTGCAAAATTTTGGGAATTTGAAAACAAAGTGCATAAACAAATTGAAAAATATAAAAAAAAAGAAAACACTATAAAGCTACATCTACTATATATATATATATACCTCCGACATGCATTATAGTTTCGTTGCTGCAGAATCCGCCGCTTGTTGTATTCTTCTTGAACTCTTTGATTAACTTTTGTGAGTTTGAGAAAACGTATAGCACCAAAGGTTTCTCTCTATGCCAAAAAGTTCAAAAACAATTAAACATAAATAGTGCTAGAGATATTAGGATATGTAGAGTCAAAAGTACTAGCAAAATTAATCGAACAAATATACGGGAAATAGTCTAAATTATGAACTTGATGAATTACATTGAATTGAATGACAAAAATGTGTTTAGAGTTTAAAGAAAAAATTAAAGGCATTTCGATACCTTTCAAATACATAAAAGCTGTTTTCCAAATATTTTAATTTAGCAATATACATATATAAATTGATCAGCATCAGATATTGGTTCATTTTTGGATGCGGAGCCAGCAGGAGCGAGAACGGAGTGGTTCGTTTGAGCGTTCATTTGAGAGAGTGAATTTACAATGAGTAAGGTATCGAGCACATTATTGGAACAAGGCTGCCAGATTATACGTTTGCCTATTTCAATTTTAACTGTCATTTAAATAAAAGTTTACAGAATTGGAATCCGAATTGCGTTTAGCTTCAAAGATTTACGCTTCTTCAACTTTTCTCAATTTAAAAAAAAATGCATAACTAATAATAACATAAATATAAAATTTATGTAAGAAAATAAAATAATAAATGAAAATAATAAAAACAAATAATTAAATTATATTAAAAAAATAATCGAAATATATAAGAGTTTTTTCTTTTTACTTCAGTGATCTATCAGTGATATATACAATTTATGTTTGCTATAGGGAAAATATAGGGAACACACAACGCTAAGAATCATTAAAAAAATTTATAAAATTTAAGATTTATACTAAAATAATTTTTAAAACAAAGAACCGTCACCAGATTTTTTGATGAACTATTTACAATAAACAAAAAAGGCATTAAAGGGGCGACAGAGTCAAGGACGAGGCGCAACCATAACCTTAATAAACAATTGTTGATAGCAGAGGAAACGGTACTAGCGCTTAGTTGGAAAGTAGAGTTAAGTTAGGGCTCATAGCGTCGCAATATATATATTTATATACATATATATAGTATTAATATATATATGCAAAACCGAAGCCATAAAATTGAATTTCGCTATTGCGTCCATGTTGGATCTTGGATCGTGGATCTTACCGGCATAATGCATGATCGTATCGTTAACGCACATTCCGCCCGATTGTGTGCCATTGACAAATAGATCGAGCACCTCATTTTCCGATGTGAAAATGTACATGACAAGCGGATTTTCCCTAATTGTTTTTGTGTTTTTTTTTTAATTGATTGAACAGATTTATAGAAATAATATTATATAAAAAATCGGAACCAATCAAAATTCATGTGTGACAAATGCAAAGAACAGATGATAAAATGATATTCACATTTACATCGACGCACTGACTGCCTTACCTGGCATTGATGAACTTAATTGCATCGTAGGCATTCTCTACAGTAAAGATGGGCAAGATGGGACCAAATATTTCCTCCTCCATAACGGGATCATTGGGCTTAACATCAACTAGAATTGTTGGCTCTATAAAACGTTCGCTGGCATCGAATTTGCCGCCAACTGCAATGCGTCCGGCCTTCATCAAACCCAACAGACGTCTGCAATAAAGGGAACTCCAAAGTTAACTCTCTCTATAGAATATGTACAATATGTTTCAATTTACTGAAAATTGTTTTGATTGATGACGCGACTCAGATCGGGACTGCTCTGTATATTGTCGCCGTACCACTCCTTGAGCACCTCCTTGGCTTCCACAATGAATTTTTGTTCCATTTCCTTGGAGCAGAGTATATAATCGGGCGCGATGCATGTTTGTCCACAATTGATGAGCTTGCCCCATAAGATACGCTTCACAGCAGTGCGCAGCTCAACCGACTTGTCTATATAGCAGGGACTGCAAAATGCAAATTTGAGTTCGTTAATAATCTTTTAACTAAATAGAATTATAGATAACTAACTAACCTCTTGCCACCCAGCTCCAAGGTGGTTGGTGTTAAATGCTTATTTGCAGCTGCGTGCACAATTTTGCCTACGCGCGTGCTGCCCGTATAAAAAATATAATCGAAACGTTGATTTAAAAGCTCAGCAGTCTCAGTCGGTCCACCACACACGACGGGATAGCAATCCTATAAAGAAATGGTAAAACAGAAATTAAATGATTTATATAATTGAATATCTTAAAAACTCCTAACTAGTCTCTAAATATTAGCTCTTCTTCTTGGTTAGGGATTCGAACCCATAGATGGCCAGTCCATGTTTAGTCGGATCAGATTCACAGATTCGCTATTCATAGACCTGCACAACTTCATTTCATTATACTCCCGGTTTTACGCACATTATCCAAATATTTGGGCAGAGTTTCTGCTATGAACTTAGCACAATTTCCCGCTATTTCACTTGGCTTAAGGATCACACAGTTGCCAGCTGCAATGGCAGCTGCGACGGGCACCAACAGCAGCTGCAGCGGATAGTTCCAGGCGCCAATCACAAGCACAACTCCAAACGGATCGTTGAAGATCTGCACATCATCCAGCATATTGACAAATGATTTCGATGGCTAGAAAATGAAAAACAGTTCAATAAAACTTTCTCATTTAGCTTATTCTAGTATAATTATAAACATTTTTAAAAATATTTTTTTAATAAAATAATTTTTTTTTATAAAATTTTTTTTTTAATAAAATATTTTTATATGAAATATTTTTCTTTTATTAACTATAATTAATGTTTTGATTTTTAAATTAATATTCTTTGTCTGTAATTTTTATTTTTGTTTTTTAATATTTATTTTTTATTTTAATGAGTTTTATTATTATAAAATATTTTTTTATTGGCAAATACGCACCTTCTCTGGCTTAACCCAATCGTCCAGGTGATAAAGTATGTGTTTGATGTCGTTCTTCATGAATTCCGTCTCGACGATCAAACTTTCCTGTTTGGGTCGTCGCAGATCCGCCTCCAGGGCGCTGATAATCTCATTCTCATGCTCCTCATAGCAGCGCAGCAAGTTTTCCAATTGTTTGCGTCTAATTTAGGGTAGATTAATTGATAAGATGTTAGTTATACGAGTGACAAACAAAGCGGGTATGACGGATTAGCCGATACCCTATTGATAAGCGAATAACTAAATATATAACAAAAATCTAATTGGAATTTCTTTTCTGATGGGGTATGCTCGACTAGTAGATAAAATGATCAAATTTCTCTTTGAATAAAGTTTAAGTTTTCTTTAAATATGCTTAAGCTGACACTCAAATGTGCAAAGTATAAATTAAAGGGTATTCAATGACATACAACAACTTTTAAGCTTGTTCATCATAGCATTTATCTACATAAAACAAATATTAAGTTTTATTCGATATTTATGCTTTTTACAATGTCAATTATTACAGGGTATATCAAACTAGTTTCACTGCGTATATCATTAGGTATAAATCTCGTTATTGTCAAGTTCATGCAATAAATAAAGCATTTTAATTGGCCCTTTTTATAGCTACATAGTTTACAGGGTATCAAGATTATTATTTACAGAACTCGTTTGCTGAAAGTTGTTCCCAGCACTAATTATATGGAATTAGCAAAACTAATAAAAACTCGTGCGCTCTTTGATCTATAATATCGTAAAACCTATGATCAATTAAACCTACAAAGCAGCACCTACAATAGCCATAGCTACGACAACAACAATAACATTTCAAGTACTGCCAATCAATGTGCTCAAGGTCAATGCTAAAACTCAATAATCTCCGTATTTTGTTCATAAATTTATGCAGTTTTTCTTTTTTGTTGCGTTAACAAAATGATTCGACAACTTGTATATGACGCAACTAAAAACAATATCAGCTGCTAGCTGACCAATATACGAATTTACATATATATGTATATATATATATATATATATATATATATATATGTGCCTATATCTAAGTATCTAGTTAGAACTGTTGAACTGGTTGGCCTGCGGCTGCATTAGTTGTTAATCTAAAAAAGAATTTAGAGGCTAGCCACATATCTTTTTATCATATTATCATATATCTAGCCGAGGTTGGTCTAAACAGTTGCCAAACACCAGGAAGACGTTAGCAATTAAAGCCAATATATATAATTGAGCATAACGAATGCTTGGGGCCTGTAATAATTGCCTTTTGCTTACTCATACATTAATATTTTCAGTTAAGCCACGCCCCTAATTTATAGTTTTATTTCCGCAGATTTCAAGCTCGGAAACTGTGGAACTACCAATTTGTTAAAATATAGATTTCTGGAGTACGTTTGGGCTACTAGCTTAACTAAGGTGAACCACATTAGAGCTGAAGACATTCATAATGAAAAGGCATCAGTAGAAACTGAAGAAGACAGGAGAGTCATACACGGAGATTTAAGCCTAGCAAAAGTTCTCTATATTCTTGACCCTCCTTCTAGGCCCACGCATATAGTATAAATTATTTAATAATTATAATACGCCTAGATATTACCTACACTAGCATCTTCACTTATTCTACAACAAAATCAGCTTGATCAGCCTGATCAGCTTTGACATATACATGTCAAACAGAATATATACATATGTAAATTTATATTATATATATACGATTAACTGAATGCCAAATCAGGGTCAAGTTCAGTTGCAATTGTATCTGCACTTGTACAAGTTCCGAAGTTCCATTCGATTTTAGCAAATAATAGTAATATATATGTATATGTATATAATATATATAATATATATAGCTATATATATATATATATATATATATATATATATGTGGCTGTGCATATCAATGAAGCAATTATAAAGCCATGATGTGGCACAAACTCTGATATTCACTATACTAAATACCTGGCCAATGCTTTAAAATAAATTCATATACAAAAAGATATCTATATATATACATATATATATGTATTTAAGCTTAGATATTTCTATGCAGAAGTAGAAGAGGCAAGATTGGAAAAAAAACAAAGCCAAACGCAGAATTCTCGGACACGTTTCCTCAGCGTTTGTTTGAACAAGAAAAAGATCATGAAATTAAATGGCTATCGACCTTGACGAGGGGGGCCACAGACGTATATGCGAACGTCCGCACTTCCGTTTCACACTTTGCGCTTAAAAAAAACAATTATATACTATATGCTATATATGGAGACATCATTTTTTGTTTATTAACATATTAAAAATGTATATATGTCTATAGATAACGCTACTAAATGCTAGACCTATTAGGCTAGTCATATAAGCTCTAAATTTGTGGTTCAATGCATGCCAAGTGCTGAAATAAAAAGGCAACAAAAGAGAGTGGATCAAAGATCGTCCCCTGCTTAACATTGCGCTGTAATTTTATGTAAATAAAGGTAAAAGCCCTCACCGTATGTACTAAAAATAAAAATATGGCAAAGTTCAGAATGTGGACAATATGCTTAGAAAAGCATACTGAATGTATAATTACTCTGCAAGTTCGGCAGATGTAGCCATTGATGGGATATATACATACATATGTACCTATTGATAAGGTACTAAATATGGGTATATGTGCCTACCGATGATGTGCTAAATTTGGATATAAACATATGTACTTATTGTTGATATACTAAACACAACTATATATATATGTACGTATTTAACTATGGGTACATAATACACATATTAAATACACGTAACTCTATGTACCTATTAAATTTCACTATGTAAAGGAAAATAATGATTGGAAAACCATTTAAATACCCTGAAATTTTTAGTTTATTTGAATTTGTATTTAGTCAAAGAAGAAAGGAATCAGTTTAAATATGTAGGATATGCTTAAAGTGAGACGAAGCTATTGCAGCTGTGTCTTCATTAATACTCTAAACAGCTCCCACAATCTATTCGATAAGAAACATATCCCAACTCCTTAGTAACTGCAAATTATCGATAGCACACACCAATTGCTTAACGTCGATAAGTAGTTATATTTCAACACCAAATTATTTAGCACATCTCAATTTTTGGCGAATAATTCACACAACTGGCTTAATAGCAATAAAAACTCTTATCTAACAACTTTTTAGCACATCGACATTTTAGTTAATTGCTAAACGCGAACAGTTTTAATGAAATATTACTTACGAAATGCTAGAGGATATTGCCTAATCGATCGCTATTTACTTTCTAGTTGTACATGTACACAAATCTCTAGACTATTAGTTGTGCTATATAAATAGTTATCTACACTTCTTATCAGAGCAGGAGCTTCAGACATCAAACAAACACAAAGTTCAAGTAAACGAGTTCAAAAGCTCATTTCTTTGTACTGTGATCCCACAATGAACTAATAATACAGTCCATAGCAACAATCTGTATGCGTGTGTGCATTTGCGTGTTCGCTTGTTAATCTCAACTGCACACATACATACAAACTTACACACATAAAGTTGTATGTAGTAATCATTATTATTGTGTTATTTCTTTTTTCTGTTAAAGACGCCGCCAAAAGCAGCTGCTGTCGTTGTATTTTACATTACATGAGCAGCATAACGCTAAAGCTGATGACCTGTTTAACTATATGTACTAACTAAAAACCGTTGCTTGTTTTTTGGGCTTTGATTACAGTTACTTACCGAAAGCTTACGTTCCTTGTCTTGCCACTGGCGAATGCGAGGCGAGCGCGTTGTAATATCTGCTCGTTGTCCATCGCAATAATTGTTGTTGTTGTTGTTGTAGTGGTGGTGGTGGTTTTTCACATTCGCAATGATCAGGTCGTGCAACAGACACACACATGCACGCACACAAGCACGAATATGCACGTATATAGGAAGATAACGAAAACGAAATTGAAAACGAAAAATAAACGAAAAAAATCAAATAAAATCAAACGAAAGAAGGCTTAATGTATGTTACGTGCGCAAATGTACGTTAATAATTGTTGTTGTTGTTGTTATTATTATTATTATTATTATTGCTCTCCTTGTTGCTTGGGATTGTTTTTGTTATTGTTGTTTTAGTGCTCGCATTAAATTGCATGCGGCATCTCCTACATTAAGTAACTTTTGTTTATTTGCAACTCGGCAACACTCACATCATCGAAATTTGCCATTATATCAGCCTGTGAAAGAGCGTTAGCGGGAGAGGTAGGGGGCGCGGCGTTGTTTTCGCTTTCTGTTGTTTCTGCTTCTGCGGAATAAAAGAAACACACACACGCATGTACACAGACAAGAATTAGAAAAACTTTGTTTACACTTCGTTCCACTGGAGCTGACTTGCACATTCACTTTTACATATTTATATTACTTTTTACTATGTTGCTGAAAGGAGACAGAAAGTCAGCAGCTGTGGCAATGGGGCGTTAAAACAAGCAATTAATTGACAAACAAAACTATATATATGTAAGTAACCACGCACACAGATAACGCACACACCGGAAAAAAGCACAACCGACGACGTTGGCGACGACGAGAAGATTGAAATTGAAATGGCGAGCAGTTGACTAAGCGACAGCCGCTGTGCGAGCTGAGAGCTGCGGGCTGCTTTTAATTGTATTCAGTTCTTAAACCCGTTTCGAAAATCAAACACCGCATGCTAAACTAGCTTAACACAAAATGTTAACAAAACACGAATCGGACACTGCTGAGTGAACGCCAAAACAGCTGTTTGAAATGAACGCACGCAAGCGATGGTATCGAATACGATTGTTGCGTGCCAAAATGCGATAATTGACATGAGCTTGTTATCGATAAACGGAAAACTGTTTAAATTTCATGCGTAGACGAAAAAAAACGTTACTTTGCTTATACCAAATTAACGCTGAAAATTATTTGTTATATCACAAAAAAATAACTTTTACCTCAGCACGACAAGTGTACCAGCATGAATACCGTGTACTACTGAAACCAAATATACAATCACAACCTGTTGTATATTAAGCTTATCAGTTTTCTCATTAGTATATATGTATATTTGCTAACCGATACCAGCGTCTAATCAGTTGAAATTCTATATTTATATGAGCAAATGCTTTAAAGCGATTAGCCACTTGGCATTCGAACACTTGTTATATGTTAATGGACCTCCATCCAAGGCGTACGGCGATTGTAAGTGAAATACACAATCAGCATGATGTGACAAATCCAGCTGCATTAACATTGAACTTTACTTACCAATATTAATGATAGTCGTGCCATCGTCTGCATTTAACATACAAGAAAAATGATTTTTATTAAAAATTTTATTTATATATTAAATTTTACGAATTTCTTGAATTATTTAAATACTTACCAAGTGTTGAGGTTTTCACATAGATTTCTGGAATTGTTTCTTTTTGATTGGAATCCATTTTAACATTTACTTGAATATATAGAATTTTTTTTAAATAATTTGTGTTTTATTGTGAGTTTTTTTAACTTAATTTTTTTTTTGTTACTAATATTTTAAATATATATTTCGCAATTTACCTGTCAAAACAAATGCATTCAACATAATTTTTTTTTATTATTTTTATATTCACCTTTAAATTAGTTGTAACGTTTCAGTGAACTAAACTCAACCAGAACTGACATTCTGGCCACCTTGGCAAAGACTTTAACGGTACATTAGCAGATGTTTATAATTCTCTCTGCATTATTTATTGCATAATTGTCTTTTGCGACTCTTCTTCTTCTTGTTTTTGTGCAAAGAACAATTAACACATTTAATTAATTGAATTTATCGCAGTTCGATCCGTGGGCCAAAACCTCCACAAATGAAACTTGGACAAATGCACTTGACCTTATATGGGCTAAGTTAGCACCCCATCGTAAACAGTTTCATTGTCACAGCCCATTTTAACGTATGCCTATTGCATCAGAGACAGGTGTGCGTATGCATATACATATTGGCGAGGGTAGTTTGAAAAGTATTCTTATTCACAAATTTCATTTTTGTTCAATACTATTTTTATGCTTCTAAATTTAACATAGTTTATTATAAATTTATGCACAGGTGGCTTGAAAAGTTTTTCAAATTGAAATAAATTAATTAATTTTTTTATGATAATAAACGAGGGTGGGCTAAACAAGTATTATGTTTACATATGCTAATATTTTATTTTGCTATTATATTATAGACTTTCACGCTTGAAAACTTTTCAAACTACCCTCATAAGACACACACTATTATTAATAAATGCCAGTCTCCTTATAAATTTCAATAGAAATTTTCGTTTTTCTTTTATCGACTGTAACTCTGCCATGTTCTACGACGTTTCAAGCTACTCTCGCCTATAAATTTGGTATGCATAGATATGCGTTACACGTCGCTGTTCCACTCATTCCCAATCCCACATTGTGGGTCGTCGACACTGGATCACGTTTACATCGATTCGATTCAATAATCATTCATTACCAGTTTGCAGCTCAGTCGAACGTAGTTTTCGCTTTCATCTAAACTGCTTACAGCACTCGATTAGTCAAGTCATAAATCTATATATATATATAATTACATATATACCCAGTTATTCAGTTTTAACTGAAATGCACAATTAAAACAGATTTGCAAATTAAGTTAAGCTGTAATCGGGCTTAGAACGATGTTGGCTCTAGGACAAAGCGCACGACCGGCAGACGGGGGTTCGGTCGCCGGGCTCAACGCCGGTGTCAGCTGTCGTTAGAGACGACGTATTATTAAGTTTTTAAACTTGTTTATATTTTTTTAGTATTTTTTTATATTTCTTAATCAAATTTACATTTAAGTTTATGCCAGTTGAAGTTTGACATTTCAGAAGTGTTTTGCATCCCATGGGTTTATTTTAATATAAGTAAAGTATATTCCCATCTATCGCATACATATGCCTATATTCTCAAATCATAAGACACAACGGAGCTGCTTTGGAGCTAAAGGTATGCAAGATTATAAGAGCTAAGCACTCTACATAAAAAAGTACAAACGTATGTCAGTAGGAGAGTGTGCGTATAAGAGTATAAGCTTTTGAGATTAATAGTTAAAAAGTAAAGAGATTAAGAGTTGTAGAGTAATAGAATATAAGAGTAGAGCGTATAAGTATAACTGAGTATAAGTGTACAATAGTATTAGTATATGAGTACTATATAAAGTATAGCATAAATGAAAAGTATAAGACCATAGCAGTATAAGAGTGTAACAACTTAGGAGTATAACAGCATAAGAGTATAAGACTGCCAAAATACTAGGGAACAAGGGTATAAGAGTAAGAGCACATAATTTTAAAATCTTGAGTCTAGTATAAGACTATCTGGGTAATAGAGCATAATATATATATATATATATTTATGTAAAACTAAGAGAATATGGAGGTCCTCTAAGCACGCGAGGCTCAAGTTTATTAATAAATAATCGATAAATATTTCTTCCCAAGTAATTGACTAAAATCGATATTAACTTCACTTCTTAGAGCATATCTCTCGCATCAACTAACGTAAGGTATCTAGAGTCTAGGCATACACATATATATATATATAATGTTCACTCAGAATTTTACAATTTATTTTTTACTATTTTGTAAATTTTTATTTTTTTTAAATTTATTTAAATGAGTTAAAAGTTATCTTGAACTTCTTTGATATTTTTTATATATATACAGTTCACTCAGAATTTTACAATTTACTTCTTATTTTTTTGTTTATTATTTTTTAATTTTTATTTTCTTTTTAATTCATTTAAATGAGTTTAAAATGATTTTGAATTTTTTTAGCTTTAACTTTTTGGTATTTAAACTTTGTTTTCTTTTTGACAAATTAGTTCTAAACATTTTAGACATCAAACGGCAATCGCTTACTGTAATCTGGGCACTCGAGTTGTTTTGTTTGTTTTTTATATGCGTATATTTAATTTAGAAACTCTTTATGAAACACTTATCGCGACGCTTCGCACCGGCTAATGTAGCCAATCGCCAATTGTGCACTGAGCTCGAAGCTGCGAGCTGCGAGCTGCTAGCGTCGAGCTCCAAGCGCGTGGCCTGCTGTTCAGTAGTTCGCGCTGTCCGTTGGGTTACGAGTTTTGCTTTAATTACAGAAAAAGTCGCCTCCACTTCTTCGATTTCGTATGCACAACCTGTCGTCCAGCTCTGATGAAATTTCAAATTTCAAATCTTTGGCTAATTCAAGCTGAAACTGAAAACCATACTCAAAATGTACTTAGACTCTAAACGATATGTATTCGATATATGCGCGCTATATGTATAAATATACATATATACATATTTATAGCTATATATTGAGTTACATTTTTCGTATAGCTTCAATCGTTGCAACGTTCAAAACACGTCTGAGCCTTCGATATAGCTAGAGGCGAAGCTGGCACTTTGATTTAGGCTTGGCTTTTGGTCACTTTTCAATCATTTTCTGTATACCCTATGAAAATTTGCTCCTGGGGTGTATTGTTTTTTGGCAAAGGTGTGTTAGAGCCATGAATCTGAATCTGATTCTGAATCTGAATCTGAATCTTTTCATTTGCATTCATCCGTCTCTCTATTTATACACCCATCTATCAACCTGTCTGGCTCCCTGTTTATCCTTTCATTTATCTGTCTGTTCTTTTTATTACTCTGTCCAAAAACGAGTTTCGTCTTTCGAGAAATATTAAAGCTAATATACAAGTTTTTATAATGAATGCATTGAATATAAATATTTGCTTTTTTGGATACTTCCGCTCAATAATACATAATTCTCTAAGATGGTATTTCCATTAACATTTTTGAATACTTTACATGCATAGCTCACATATTTATGCACTAATAATGACAATTTTGCAGCTTCGTAAAAGTCTTAGGGTATCTGCTAGTCAGTCTCAACCCAACATGCCACTTCTAGTTATTTGTTTGCGCACTCAAACAAGATTGTTTCGCATCATTATTTCACTTCCATTTGCTATAATTGGTAAACCAGCTGATTTTGAAACCGAAAACTTGATTTTTAGGGAAATATTTCAATATACGCTTAGTTATATATAGATATATATATATATAAAACATTCTTCAAACCCCAACGTGCTTGATTGATGATCTGCCTCATGCGCTTTTGTTGCCTTTTTAACAAACTTTGCGCATTATTTAATTCATAAAAACTTCAAATACTTATAAATGATTTACCTGAACGAACGTAAGATACCCTCTAATAAAGTTGTGTGTTAAATAAAGACGCAATTCAGGTTTTATTTAAAAGAATAAATTAAAATTGATTTAGAACGACTATCGACTAAATAGCCTTATAATTACAGGGTATATACGGCTTAGCGTTTAGCCGCCCGTCAGCAAAGGTCGCTGCCAATTGAGCTCTGCTCCTCCTCCTCCAGTAAATACGATTCGAAGATCGAATTTTGTTTACTTTTTAGCCACAGCTGAGCTGAGCGCAGCGCAGCGGGACAACTGGTTTTTGAATAACATTTAAATATATTTACTTTTATTTTTACTTTTGTTAATTTTATTTGATTTGAAGCAGCATCAGCCCTGACCATGAACAGCTTGAAGATCAACTCGAGACGTTTGAAGTAGTTTATCTACATCAAATTACTCTATAATCATTTTATTATGTCTGTCAATTGTAGACTGGACTTTGTTTATGGCTTCAAATTGAGCAATGTACATATATATGTATGTATATA